AAATAACCTTATTTTATCATTTTTATAATGGCAACTTTGTAATCTAATAGTGTTAAAGGATTTTATAATGGCAACATTGTAATTTAATTTAATAGTGTTGAGGGTGAAGAATATGTGGGCCCAGTTTATGTGAAATCGGGAACTTCCCGCAGACAACAGGGTGCAAGAATTGGGGATGACAAAAATAAAACACAAAAATATATGTTTAAGAAGGAATAAAAAAAATATTATATTACAATGAAAATTCAACTATGTTATTCCACTGAAAATTTCAATGGATACTTCATTAGTATAACTTTCATTATAAAATTTCATTGGTTATTCCATTAGATATCAAATTAAATTACATTGAAATTTAGTGGATTTAATGATTTCAATTACCATTATTTATTGTTGTGTGAATTTTCATTGAATTATATTGTTTTATGAATTTTCATTGATTTTTTTTACTCTGTTTAAATTGTTGGATTGTTATTTGAATTATAAAAATTTCATGGAAGTTCGATTAAAAAGCCCCAAAATTCGAACAAGATTTTGTACCGAGTCAAGAAGAATGAAATATCCTCAAAATTTCATTAGTATAACTTTCATTATAAAATTTCATTGGTTATTCCATTAGATATCAAATTAAATTACATTGAAATTTAGTGGATTTAATGATTTCAATTACCATTATTTATTGTTGTGTGAATTTTCATTGAATTATATTGTTTTATGAATTTTCATTGATTTTTTTTACTCTGTTTAAATTGTTGGATTGTTATTTGAATTATAAAAATTTCATGGAAGTTCAATTAAAAAGCCTCAAAATTCGAACAAGATTTTGTACCGAGTCAAGAAGAATGAAATATCCTCAAAAATCTCCATTGATACGACATGCTATTTTTTTCTTTTATTCCTTTTCAGGATCAGTCGCGGTCTTTCAAACTTTACCAACGGTATGGACAAATTCCTCACTTCATCCAAATGTATAAAAGATTCTAGCCGCACTTAAAAGCCGAGTACTCTGTCGTTGAGTTAGCAACCCGAAGAAAATAGTTTATATAAAATAGTATGTGGTTATATAAAATAATATATAGAGTATTTATAAATAATATAGTATTTACAATATTTGATTATATTAATTGTATCCTAATATATAAGATATTTTGATTACAACGTCATTATATAAAGTACGTAAAGAAAAATGACGTAATGCATAAAAATGTGCTCTAATACTTTTAAAAAATAAATATTTTTTGTGAATAGAATAATAAACAAATAAAACAATAGTAATTTAATAGAAAAAGAAAATGTTTGAATTTTTTTAGAGAAATGTGAATACTAATATCTACAAACAAAAGTCTTTTAAAATTAATATTTTTTTTTGTTAGCGTCTAAATTAATGAACTCTGTAAGAAATTAGTTTTCACAAATAATGGTCAAATATTATCAAGAATTTTAAATTACAAAAAAATAAAACTTTGTGATACATAATGTAAATTTTAATAATAAGTTCGTAATAATGAAGTTCACAGAGAGACTAAGAGTATCATAATATGATAGAATTTTAATTCTTCGCTTCTTAAAAATTTTGAGAAATGACATGCTTCTTAATATTATCTCTTTGTTTTGTTTATTTTAGTTTATTATTATTATTATTATTGTTATTTTTTGTCCAAGAAAGAATCATTATCTTGAATATTCGAAGCATTATGTATGATGCAAAAAAAATTGGACAATAAAAACATTACAGTAGTTATTAGTCACATAAGTACCGCAAATTAAACGGATGTGGAATATATAATGATAAACAACGCTAAAATCACTGCAACAATGAAGATGGTCAATAATTTGCAAACCGTAAATTATATAGTTCGTTTGTCTTCCAAATAAATAACATTGAAAAAAAAAATATCGACAAAAATAATTTATATAATGGTAACAAAAATATCAACAATTTAATGATACGGTTGGTTATTTTATAACGATATTTATGAATTGTTAATAGAAAGAACTTATACAGAAAATACAATCATTAAGTTTCACTATATGTTTGACCAAAATATTTATAAGTGTTTGAATAGAGTAGACGTTTTGCCAAACGAATTAAGAATAATTTTGCAACACTATTGATGTACTGAGCTCCAACGAGTTTGAATGTTTCTTATGAAAACGTCAAAACCAAAATGAAAGGAATCACTTTTAATCATCTAACATAATTAAATAAAATAACTAATGCATCTATAATATACATTGGATCCTTATTTAGTTATTTTGTGTTTTTTCTTTTTTTTCATTACGACGATATTTTTTGTTGGGGTTGTAATATGTTATTTTATTCTTTTCATATTAGGACATCATTATGTTATGTAAAAAAAAGCATTAGAAGTTCATTTATTTTATATTTCACTTCGTTCCTGCAATGATATGTTTAATAAATTAATTGATTTATCTTACTAAATTTAATCGACAAAAAACATTCGCCATCACGTGCAATGCACGTGCACTTTACTAGTATATTAAAATGTCCGATTAAGAAAAACAATTATAAACAAAAATATGATTTTTCATAGTATTATAAATATGCATTGTTGTTAAAGAAAAATATATGACGAGTCAATTCGCCTAACGATGAGCTAACTACAATATTTATGTTGTATACTCCATGAGCAATGTCTTATTTGGATATTAACTGATAGGATTGTACTGGCAAATAACATACTGTACTAGCTGATATGATTAGCGAATTCAATTAACAGTTTATCAAATAAGCATTTGATATATAGCTAAACTAATAGTTTTCATGTTTATTACTTTTTAATTGATAACAAACAAATGAGTGCCAAATCAGCATAATATTTTGCATGGCATAATTTCATTGGATGACATAATTAGTAGGCTATATAAATTCAAACTAGGAGTTTATATTAGTGGTTCGGCCCGTGGCCTGACCCGTGAACCAGCCCAACCCGGATCCGAACCGGCCTCCTAAGGGCGAACCGTAGGGCCGCGGTTCGCTCCCGGTTCCATTTTTTTTTATTTTGTCCCGTCGAACCGGGCTGGGTCAAATTCTTTGTTTTTCTTAAGGGCCGGACCGGCCCGTGAACCGTCGTACCGGTGAACTGGGGGCTCGGGCCAATTCTATGAACCGGCCCTTGGTTCTTAGCGGGCCGGTCGCGGTCCGGGTGTTGGAAGACCCGTGGCTCGACGGGCCGAGCCTTGGCCCGGCACCTGGTCACGTCTATATATTAGTGCACACCTTTAAGATAGTATATAAAGATTTTTTTATTTTTTTTTTTCCATGATATGACAGATAAA